GAAGGGAATGAGAAGAGTGATGGTTAGCTTCTGGGAGTTCTATGTCAAGGGGGTATAGAATGTCAAAGATACCATACACAGAATTTAAGTCAGTACCCTTATTTTAGCTCCAAGTCCCAAGTCACGAGCCTCTCCAGAGTTCCGTAGGAACATGGACTTGCTTTGATGCTGTCTGTCTCTGTGTACTCAGATACCACCTCTCTATTGTCTGTTTTCCAAACATTTTATTGACAAGTTTCAGCTGTTCATGGCTTTTGAACCATTCCTCTCTCCTTGCAGTATTATTCAGTTGTATTTTTTTAAAGATTTTATTTATTTACTTGAGAGACTACAGAGATCACAAGTAGGCAGAGAGGCAGGCAGATAGAGAGGGGAAAGCAGGCTCCCCGCTGAGCAGAGAGCCGGAAGCAGGGCTTGATCCCAGGACCCTGGGATCATAACCTGAGCTGAAGGCAGAGGCTTTAACCCACTGAGCCACCCAGGCACCCCAATTCTGTTGTATTTTTTAAAAATTGCTTTACTGTTATTTTATCAGGGTCTCAAAGACTAAGGATACTAGCATGTGGCTATTCTATAGTATTGATACAAAAGTTTCAAAGGGGTTTCATATTATGGGCTTGTTCTAATCACCTAATAGTGGATATCTAGGGCACTGTGCTGAGGATTGTAAAACAGTGTCTGGGCTATTTGATGGAGCATAGGAAGGGAGAAGAGGGATACCCATGCAATGAATGCTGTCTCTATATGCATCAAAATATATACAAAAGTAGAATGTAAAAATATATTTCTGTAGAGGATGTATGTAAAAAGAAAACTTGTAGCTGGAATGGATTAAAAAATAATTAAGGACACAATCTCTAATTTAAAAAATTACACCTTTTTATATTATCTCTATTTATTATAGAGATAGAAAAGCACAGTGAGCCATCAGAAACTTTATAGGTATCTTCATAGCTTTAAACAGTTCACTTTAAGTTAAAGAACATGGAGTTCTAGAATTGACAATTTATACAAGCTTTAAAAATAAATACAGTTGACCCCCGAACAACACGGATTTGAACTGCATGAGTTTACTTATATGTGGATTTTTTTCAATACATACAGTACTGTAAGTATATTTTCTCTTCCTTATGATTCTCTTAATATTTTCTTTTCTCTAGCTCACTTTACTGTAAAATATAGTATGTAATATATATATATAACATACAAAATATGAATTAATGGACAGTTTATGTTATTGGCAAGGCTTCAGATCAACATTAGCTATTAGTGATTAAGTTGTGGGGGAACCGAAAATTATTTGCAGATTTTCAATGATGTGAGCAAGCAACACCCTTTACTCCCATGTTTTTAAGAGTCAACTGTAGATTCAAGAAGAGTTTAGATAAATTTATGAATTCCAAAATTCACATATATATATGAATATATATGTATGAAATTATAGCAGTGAATGAAGGAAATTGGGGGATGTTTACTGATTTATTTATTTCTAAGATAAAAGAACTTATCACTATTGAAAAGGTGTGTCAGTTTGATAGGAATGGGCTTAATCAGCATAATACTTATTATGTAATCACTATCTAAAGCTATTCAACTTCTCAGTGCATTTTATACCCAAGCAGAAAATTACACAAGCTTCCCAGGGATCTTGAGAAACTGCATGATAATAGAACGAACACTGAAATAAGTTAAAAGACCTGGATTTCAGTATTGGATAAGCAGATAACTCCCTGAAAGCCTGACTTAGTCATTTAGACTTCTCAGCAGGACTTCATCTTTAAGGAGTGATGGGACTGCTATACTTCGAAGACTCTGTTAACTAGGAGGAATCAGACATCCCCTCCTTGCTCCACAGGCTGCATACCTCCTAGCTAAAAGGCCTATATCACTTAGCATAGATCAAAGTACCGCTAACATTTACCAAAGTAACCAAATGCTCCAATATGCTTATTACAGCCACTTCTTTATTATCCATGTTAACAGACAGAAAAAAATAGGGAATAATCATTTTTAAGCAGATGGGCCTTAAAAAAATGGACTTGGCTTGAAATAGCATCACATTTAGTAGTATTTTTACGAGAATTTTCTTTCCAGGTTGTGTTTTACTTTGGCTAATATAAAAGTTGGTGGATGTTTCTTGAGAACACAATTTCACATTTGGAGAAGGCAGCTTTAGAATGAACTCGATATGAGATGTTTTACATTTGCTGCTAATAATCCCCTGAGAGAATGAGCTGCAGCTGGATAAAATTAGTAATAGCAATACCTATGCTTTATAGCAAGTTGTGGTGGTTTTAAAAGATGTCTGCAATTCTTCGACACTCCTTCAATGAAGAGACGGAGTCTATGTCCTCTCCTAGGAACCTGGGAGGACTTGGTAACTGCCTTAATGAATACAGTGCTGCAGAAGTAATGCTGTGTAACTTTGGGGTTTAGGTTAGAAATGGCTGTGCCTCTTCTGCTAATTTTTCTTGGTAAACTAACTATTGGAGCTTTAGCTCCCAGGTAGTTTTCTTAGGATACTAACTGTTGGAGCTTAAGCTCCCATGTAGGAAGCCTGGCCATCCTAAGGCTGCCTTGTGGAGCATCTACATGGAGTGATGACATATGGAAAGAAAGAAACAGCCCCATCTCCTCCACTCACCAGATGTTTGATTCATTCCAGCCCAGGCATTGTGAGGGAAGATGTTTTAGAGGAGAGCCAAGCCCTGGTCACTGTCTGACTTCAACTCTATGACAGACCCTGAGGAAAAAATTATCCAACTGGGTCTTATCAAAACCCAGATTCATTATAAAAATAAGTAGTGGTTATTGGATTTTGTTCGAAGTCATTGTTTTTGGTTTGTTTTTCTGCACCAATAGGTAACTAGAACACACTTTTTTTTTTTCCTAGAGCACACTTTAAAAATCACTTTCATATCTCAAATTTCCCTGGACAGCCAAGCCTATATTCCTGTTTCATAGACAAGGAAGCTGAGAGAGAAATGAAATGTACACTAGTCTAGTCCAAGCCCTCCTTTCCACCAATGAGGAAAAGAGGAAAAAAAAAACCTGTCATAGCCTGTCAGGGGAAGAGCTGAGACTCCTTCCAGCCCCCTTTCCAATAAAGAGCTGTATGTAGTCTCCCTGCTCCACACCAACTACACTTGCTTTCCATTCAGGGAAACAGAAGTAGCCAGGATCCTTTCTACATCCAGTTTGTGTCGTCTTTGCATCCATAGAAATAGTGTAAAGAGCATAGGCATTTTGGTGACAGAAGGATTTCGTTTCAAATCAACATGCTGGCTATGTGCTCAGAGTTAAGTTCTTTAACTTCTCTGAACCACATCTTCATCATATGTAAAATGAGGATCAAAGTGCTTCCTCTAGATTATTGTTAGGAAAACAAGATATAACAAATATAAATTGCTTGACCCAACATAAGTACCTAATAGACACATCTCACAGAAAGTCTCTTGTAATTTTTCATTATCATTATTATCATATCAATATTTTCCAGAGGGCCTAAAATGATAAACATGATAATATCATAACATAATGATAATAGCACACAAACTATAGTTTAGCTCATAGAATCCTCACAGTCAGCACGTGACACAGGCAATATTCATATTTTTAGATGAGGAAACAGGCATGGAGAGGTTAAGTAATGTGCCAGTATTGGTTAGGGTTTGAATCTTGGCAGACTAGGAGGGGAGGAAAAAGTGATCTCTTAGCACGTTGGTAAAAAATGTGTTTTGTTCCTGTTTGACCTCCCGGTAAGACCCATTAGGGGAATAAAACTAAGTGCAATATGCCTGATAACAGCCAAGTTTTTCACCAAGCCAGACCATAATTGCATCTAATGTTAATGTTGCCTAAGAAAAATCTTCCTGGGATGTCTGGGATTCATTGTCTGAAGGCTTCAGTGTAATTTTGTGCTCCAGATAAGGGCTTCTAACTTGAAATGTGTACGCTATAATGATGCAATGAGGTGTGTATGCAAAATGAAGAACAAAATACCACCATTAAGGACTATTTCAGATTCAGGGTAAACCTGAAATGTCTGTTTGAATTGCACTATAATTTTCAGATTCATGATATAAGATTTTTTAGTAATTTGTCTTTATTGTATTGTTACAGCAACCCAGTGTATGTGGATTATATTATTTTTTTGTTTCTACATCATAGAAAACTTTGTTATTGGTCAACAGTTGTGTTGTTCTTTAGTACATAATGTAATACAGTTATTACACTAGTACACATTTCTAGTACACAGGTATCTTGTAAAGTTGCATATTGTCACAAAATGATTCTAATACTTTTGATCATTTCCCTTAGCAATTCATTAAGTACTGCTCTCTCGGGAAGAGTCGGGGGAAATATGTCATATGTTAAAATTCAAACGCACATTTACCCACGAGTTCCTGATTTATTCAGAACTCTTTAATGATAGTTGGCTTATGCTTTATACTTTCTCACCTGACCTCCACAAACATCTTGAGTCCTTTCCATATTATTCCCTGCAGCTCATATAATAAATGAGAATGCATTGCTTAACTCATATAGTGACATGTATGTTTTGGTTCAGGAAAGGGGAGCTGATCACTTAACATGTTTGTGAATCAAAGCTTTGATAGAAACAGTTGGTGCATACACGATATCATCTGAGAGTGCTGTGAGGTTAAGTATCTGCTTTAATTTTTTTCCCAATTTTGGTAGCCATGTCTAAAATTTTACTAATGGAGATGACTTTCTATAGTTTTAATAGCACAAACACAAAGAAATGAAGGCTAAAATAACTGAAATATACAGCCTAGCAAGCAAATAAAACAACCTACATATGCTTGAATTAAGAGTGATCAGTAGGGACATCTGGGTGCCTCAATTAGTTAAGTGTCTGCCTTCAGCTCAGGTCATGATCCCAGGACCTTGTGATCCAGCCCTCAAGCCCTGCAATAGGCTCCCTGCTCGAGGGGAGCCTGCATTTCCCTCTCCCTCTGCAGCTTCCCCTGCTTGTGCTCTCTCTCTCTCTCTCTGTCTAATGAATAAATAAAATCTTTAAAAAAAAAAAAAAAGAATCATTGGTAGCCATAAGAATATTCATGTGAGGCCATGAAGCCATGGACCAGGACTTAGCACCTAGATAAAGGACCTAAAATCTACTCATGAAAAAAAAAAAAAAAAGTTGGAGACTACACAAAGAAACTATTCATTAAAGGGTAGAGAAATAAAACACAAAAGAGAACAATTTATAGCTCAAGAACCCCAGAAGTCAGAACTACACAAAAACCCTATAAAGCAAATATACTTAAAATGATTAAAGAGACAAAGTAAGGAAATAGGGATTTTTATGAAATTATAAATCACTATAAGATAAGAACAAGACTATTTGAGAAAGGAAACTTTAGGAATTAAAATTTAAAAAATAAAACTTCAGGAATTCAAAATCTTTGAATTGCAATAGTTAATGTCCATTCTACAAGGAAAGTATTACCATCCTGTTCATATAACTGATAAAGAAATGAGGTTCAGAAGTCAAAATAATTTACCAGTATACATAGCTTATAAATGGTGAAGTGAACTTGAACTCAGGTCTCTGTGACTTCAAAGTGTATGTTTTTAACTATTATACTATACTACCTAACTAAAGTATGACTTCTATAACTATTATAAGGGAATATATATATGTATGTATGTACATTTATCTATACAAACATATTAAACATATATGTATGCAAAAACAGGGATATAATAATGCTAATAGTGGTGAATTATGGCAGCTGATTTATTGTGATTTTATCCTTATCCATAATTTTCTACATTAAACATCATGATAGAGTAATAATAAACATACCTTACACCTTTCTTTGGTAAATATATTAGAAGATGCAAAGAAAATCCATGAACAAGACAAAATAAACCTCAGTAAGGGTAAAAAGCAGATTAGACTTAGCTAAAGAGAGAATGTGTAGTATGAAAAATAAATCAAAGAAATTACCTAGAATGCAGCAGAAAGAAAAGTTATATATTCTATTTATGATTTTTAGTTGCTGCCTTATATTTTTAACATGAATATCTGATTTTATGTAGACTGAAGTTAATATCTTTAGCATCTTCTGAAACAAATTCCAACTTTTGACTCTGATCATCTTTTTGTTTCAAATATAATTTTTGCTAATATTTTATTTCCAACCTCTTTGTATGGCTCCATTATTACTAGTATTATATTTCTTAACACAGTCAGGGCTTGTTTAGAGTTACTCACTATTTTTTATTTCTTGAGTTTCCATCTTCTTAAAATATACCAATTGTTATTCCATGGCAGTATAATAGATTATTATGAACTTAGTGGTTTAAAATGACATATAGGGGCACCTGGGTGGCTCAGATGGTTAAGTGTCTGCCTTCAGCTCAGGTCATGATCCTGGGCTCCTGGGATCAAGCCCCATGTCAGGTTTTCTGCTCATCTGGGAGCCTACTTCTTTTTCTAACCCCTGCTAATTCTCTCTCTCTCACTGCCTCTCTCTCTCTCTCAAATAAATAAATAAAATCTTTTTTAAAAAGTAAAACAACATACATCTTTTACCTGTTTCAGTAGATTAGGAGTCCAGATATAGGTCAAAGCTTGGGCCTCTGTTCAGTTTGTTACAAGGTTGAAATCAGGGCTACACTATTTTTTGGAGGCTCTAGGAAAGAATCTACTTCTAAAGTCATCTGTTATATTGTCAGATTTCAGTTCTTTGTGGTTACAGAACTTAGATTCCAATTCTATTGGAAGATGTAGACCAGGGGTCACTGTCATCCCTTTGAAGCTGTCCACAGTCCCTTGCCATGTGGCCTTCTCTAAAATGCTCACATACTTTGACTCTTTCCACTGTCTCTGCCCGCTAAGCCCAACTTTAAATTACTTATGCGATACTCCCCCTATTTTAATATGAACTGATTTTGGAAGGTCAGTATATCAGCAAAATCTTTTCACAGCAGTACCTAGATTATTGTTTGACCGAATAACTAGTAGAAAGTACATTTATAACAGGGAGGGTGAGTGTCATGGGACCATCTTAGAATTTTGCCTTCAATAAACTTAAAGATTTTTTAAAGGAGAAATTATAAATAGTAAAATCTGTAATTTTTTTGTCTTGAAGTCTTTATATAACTATACTTCTTACTTAAATACTTTATATAACTTCTTACATGGTTGTTTAGCTGGATATAAAATTCTATGTTGATAGTAATTTTCTCTCAGGTGGAAAATATTCCATTGTCTTCTGAGTTCTGTTGTTGCCAAGTCTGTTGTCAGTTGAATTTTCAGTATTTGTAGCCAACCTGTCCTTTATTAAGAGTTTGCTTTCCTTTAAATTTCTTTTAGTTTTTGATGTCCTGAAGTTTCTCTAAGTCTATCTAGTATGGGTTTAATTTTATTTATTTTGCTTCTTGCATTTTCTGAGTCTGAGGATTCATCTCATTTTGGAAAATTCTCAGCAACTCTCTGAAAACTTTATCTTCCTTTTTTTCCTTCTGAAACATCTACTAAACTTAGGTTTTAGCTTCTCATTCTATCCTCCAAGTATCCTTATTCTGCTTTTAAATTTTCCATCTCTTTAACTCAATGGAGTGGATTCTGAATAATTTCATAGGTCCATGTTAACTCTCTTTTCAGCTGTGTTTAATATGTATTTAATTCATCCATTGACTTGTTAATTTTAATGATGCTGTATTTCATTTCTGGTCATTCTCTTTGGTTCTTTTTAAAATCTCCGGTATTTTTTCTTATCAGTTTCTCTTTTTTTCCCTTATATTGTTATTTCTTTACTTTATATACTAATTTATTAAAAACATATGACTTTAGCAACTAATATAGAAATAGTTATTTTAGGCAAGAATCATCAGTAGATTCTGAAATTAGTGAGTGAAACTTTGACAAGAATTTGGATATTTACATAGTTTCAAAATATCTCCCCACATGAAATTTATTAAATATGAAGGAGAAATAGTAACTTTATAGTGAAGAAACCTGGCCCACATTACCTAGTACTCAAAGTTCTCCTCCACAATAGTAGGAAAATAGATATCATTTGTCTCCTATATGATGCAATGAGAAGGATACAATATTACCTCTGTAGCCTACCTGCCAAAAATGCCCAACTTGACTCTATTCATAAGGCCATGTTCCCCAACAATTGTAATTTCCATTTTGAGAGCTATAGAGTTCTATTAATCTATGATGATGTAGTATAGATTACCTGCTTATTCAGAGCACAGAATTTGGAGTTATATGGACTTGATTTTCAGATCTTGGGCCATCATCTACTTTGAAGATATAGAGTTGAAGATGAAATGGCTGGGAAAGAGGATTACTCTGGAGATAGCTGTTGGTATATTTAGGATTTCCACTCCTATCAGGTAAAAGGGTTGCTCCCACCTCCCTATTAATCTAAATAAGAAAGAGGGCTTCAAGGGAATTACTTGATGGGGTTGGCCTATTATCCTGCAGTCTGAAAGCATAAGGATGGCAAGAGAAACCGGAGCTAGATTGGCCTATAGAGTGGTACAATAGAGTGTAGTGAAAGAGGACTATCTTAGGAATAAAAAGCTCTTTCAACAACAGCATGACAGGACAAGGATGGATGAGTTTTTCCTGTGGATCAGATATGGGCCACATGGGATAGAGGCAATATGGAGCTACTTTGAGTCCACCCTTCACCCAAAAGGAACTTCATGGATGAAGGTGTGAGCCCAATGAAAGAGAAGACTGTCCCAGGCTCAGAGGCTAAGGAAAGAATTTTAAGCAACCAGCAAGCAAAAAGGAACAAGTAAGCATCAAGGAAATTGCAACTGGAGAGATCCACTGGGGATATCATTGAGAAACACACAGAAATATCCCATTAGAGGAAGAATCAGCTTGGGCACACTGCCACACTCAGAGGGTTCCATCACAGATTACTCTCCATGCCAATGAAATAAGATCTTGCCTATTGCTTACCTGTTCTCCTTACTTTCCACCTCCCACCCTGATAGGCCCAGAGAAGACCTAAAAATAGTGAAAGGAGGAACAAAGATAAGGTAAAGAGAAAAGCCAAGAGTTCCCTCCTACCACTCTAGACTTCTAGGCCTAGACCAATAGCAGGCTGGGGTAGCAGGATAGGATTAGATCTAGTTGTAGTAATAAGAATAAGGAGCAGTGATTTCGACATTTTTAGTCCTGTGATGAGACTCTGATTATGCATAAAAAATGACTTGCATTATCTAAGTATACTGGAAAGATCCTGCCAAGATACAGCCCATAGAGTAAGTTTGAAGAGATAGCAGTGAACAAGAATAAGTCATTTTATTTGGCTTGTTGTTGTTGTTTTTGCCCATATCCTATCGAATTTAGCCCATTCTGTATCTAGATTTCATCTACAACTTGTCCCAGGTTATGTGGTAATTAGCAGAACGAAACAAATTAAGGTACTATTTATACTCTATGATAATGAATTTTTTGAATAAAAAGAGAGAGTGCATGAGAAAGAAAGAGAATATTTGGTATTTATTTGCATAATTAGAAAGCTCAGTTACATCTCTGGATAATTTTTGGCCCAAAGGATAAGCACATGCAAATGCTAGATCAACAAAATCTCTCCAAGAAGGACAAGCCAAGTCTTGGCTGGCTTGGGTATGGAATTCCCCCAGACATGAGGCCAAAACTTTGAGAGGCCTGGATTTCCCTGGGGAGCCAATACTCACGGAGAGAGCAGATGGTTTCCAAAGTAAAACCTAGAGAGAGTTCCCCAAAGGGGACCGGATCTTAGGTTTTTGGCAGAGATGAGGTTGTTTTACTGGTAGAGTGAAAACATCCCACCTCCTCAATTCCACTTCTTTCATACACACACTTATAGAACATTTTCTCCACAATGACAACACACAGAATGGTGCTCACCACTATAGGATGATCATATCGTCCCATTGAACGCAGTGGGCTTTTCAAACAGATTATGAGGAGCCTGTGTTTTGTCGATAAACTTCTAGTAAGACCCAGAGGGAAACCAGAACACAGACTTGGGATTTGAGGTTGTAGCCTGGCTAGTGACAGGAACCAGGCCTGGGCTGCCCTTTACTGTGGAGGGGCTGGTAGGGAAGGGGGGAGGGGAAACCAGGTGCAGAATGGGAAGGGGATTTCATGTAGGATTTGCTTTCAGCTCTGTCTTAGATGGAAATGTCACTCTCACTGGAAACTGTGTTAATGAATGACAATCAAAGCATACAGGGTGTACTGTTTTATAAAACAGTATTTGTTTCCCAGAGCTGCTGGCCCAACTATTTGCATGACATTTGTGTTTTAATGTAGTATGGCTCCAATGTATTGTGAAGGGCAGGACACCAGGCAGAAATTAGATGTAAGTTTTCTACACAAAATTTGCCATCTGAGCACTTTCCCACTCTGAAGCTCTGATAACTAGCACGATAGTTTCTTTCAAGCAAACTATATGAAGCCTACTGGAAGACTCAATATTGACAGGAAACTTTGAGGTTGGGTTTATTATTCTACCACTTCCTTTTTTTTTTTTAATTAACATGTAATGTATTATTTACCCCAGGGGTACAGGTCTGTGAATTATCAGGCTTACACATTTCACAGCATTCACCATAGCACATACCCTCCCCAATGTCCATAACCCAGCCACCCTATCCCTACCCCCCACCCTCCAGCAACCCCCAGTTTGTTTCATGATATTAAGAGTCTCTTATGGTTTGTCTCCATCCTAATTCCATCTTGTTTCATTTTTTCCTTCCCTATGCCCCACAGCCCCCCACTTTGCCTCTCAAATTCCTCATATCAGAGAGATCATATGATAATTATCTTTCTCTGATTGACTTATTTCGGTCAGCATAATATCCTCTAGTTCCATCCACATCATTGCAAATGGCAAGAGTTCATTTCTTTTGATGGCTGCATAGTATTCCTCTGTGTGTGTGTGTGTGTGTGTGTGTGTGTGTGTATACCACATCTTCTTTACCACTACCTTTTTTATAAAAGTTATATTTCTTCTTCACTATTTGCCCCCCGCCCCCAAAACCTGCAAGAAATATTTATTTACTTGTAGATATTAGGAAGGGAAGAAAATAAAACTAATAATAATAGCCAGTGTTCTTGTTGTTTGGAATTTTAAAATATTCTTCAAGGACATATTATCCACAACACTCATTCTCTATCAATGGCAACCTTAGTTATTTGGACATAATTTGTTTGAAGTTCAATATTTAACTAAAAAAATTGGCAAAAGAAGTATTAAATTATGACATAGAACTTATTATAATAAACTAGAATAATAAAAGTTTCTTTCTTTGAATAATGACCCAAATATGTAATCTGTTTAATTTCTCTATACACTCCTTCATTTTCTGCATAAAATAAGAATCACCAATAAGAAATATTGATCATATGTTCTTTTTTTGCATCCTGGTTCTGCCTTCATTATTAATGTTGACAGATAATCTTTCAGTTTATATAGGTTTAATATATTTAAAATAAGAGGCATAAAAGGGAGAAGGAGTTAGGACAATTTCACTGAAATATCCTTCCCTTTCAGACCTGAAATAGGTATGAATGACACATAAAAATAACTGTATATATAGGGCCACAGAATAGTAAATGTGAAGTCTATTGCTTTTCCTTCTCTTCCTCTCTCAGTAATTTTTCAAGGGTATCTGCTATTAGTGGAGTGCTCTCCTCTAACTATAGGAGATATTGGAATCATTTGTATTCTGGTCTAAGAAAATATCTGATGAGAATATAAATTATTTTAATATATTAAAAGATTTAAGATCTATACTTTATATGATATAATTGGGGTGTTATTTTTCACTTACATGTTTATATAGAATGTACTTTATTATACTGGTTTTTGACATCTGTTAAAACAATACCCCACTATCTAATATTTAAGGAAGAAATAATACGAATCTTTTTTTAAAAACGAGTTTATTTATTTATTTGACAGACAGAGATCACAAGGGAAGCAGACTCCCTGCCAAGCAGAGAGCCCGATTCAGAGCTCGATTCCAGGACCCTGGGACCATGACCTGAGCCGAAGGCAGAGGCTTTAACCCACTGAGCTATCCAGGTATCCCAAATAATACCGATTTTACACAAACTCTTAGAAAACCAAAAAGGAGTGAAGATATTCTAACTCATTTTAGGAAGCCCATATTACCTTCAATCTGGAAGGAGACAAAGACACAAACAATATAAAGCAAAATCTCTTGTGAACAAAGACTCAAAAATCCTCAATAAATATTAGCAAATTAAAAACTAATACATAAAAAATGCTATGTCATGATTGGATTGGCTTAACATTTAAAAATCAATCCTTATAATTCATCATATTAGCTGAATTTAAAAAGAAAAAACATAGTTTCATTAATACAGAAGAAGCATTTCACAAAATCCAATTTCCATGACTTATTTAAAAACAAATACGGGGGCTGCCTGGGTGGCTTAGTCAGTTAAGCATCTGCTTTAGGCTCAGGTCATCATCTCAGGGTCCTGGGATTAGGCCCTGTGTCAGGCTCCCTGCTAAGCAGGGAGTTGGTTCTCTCTTTCCTTCTTCCCTCCCCTCCCTGCTTATGCTCTCTTTCTCTCTCTCTCAAATGAATAATAAATAAAATCTTAAAAAAAAAAAAACAAATAAAAACAAACAAATACACAAACAAATACAGTTCTCCTCAAACTAGGAACAGGAGGGAACTCCCTGACTTTGACAAAGTGTATTTATAGAAAACTTACAGGTAATATCATACTTAAGAGTGAAAGACTGAATGCTTTCCTCCAGGGTCCTATTCAGCATAGTATTAGAGTTCATACTCAGTATGCTAAGACAGATAAAAGAAAGGAAAAGCATGCAGATTGGAAAGAAAGAAATAAAGCTGTCTATTGTAGGCATCATGATTGGGTACACAGAAAATCCTAAGAAACCTAAAGAAAAGCTACTAGAATTTATGAATGAGTTTAGTAAGGCCATGGGATACAAAGTCAACATACAGAAACCAATAGTATTCCCATACACGAGTGTTAGAAACCTGGAAATTAAAATTTAAATATGAAAAAGTGCCATTTATAATAGCATAAACATATGAAATATAGAGATATATCTAATAAAATAGTACAAATTTTATAAAATGAAAACTAGTAAATACTAACTAAATTGAAGACCTAAACCAATTTAAAGATGTACCTAGTTTGTAATTTAGACAACTCAATATTGGTGTCACTTCTCCCCAGATTCATCTATAGATTTAAAACAATCTTAGTCAAAATCCTAGCAAGTGTTTTTGATAGAAGTTGACAAACTTGTTTTTTAAAATTATACGCAAATGCAAGGAACCTAGAATATCTAAAATATTACTAAATAAGAATAGAGTTAGATATATGTACAGTATCTGATCTCAAGACACTATAAAACTACAACAATCAAAACAGTGTGGCATTAGCCTAAGGATAAAAATCTAGATCGAGAGCACAGAATGAATAATCCAGAGCTAGGCCCCCCATAAAATCAGTTGATGTTCTACATGGTTGCCAGTGCAACTCAATGAATAAAGAAAAGACTTTGCAACAAAATGTCCTGGGGAAGCTTAATATGCATATGGGAAAATAATAGAACCTCAATCCTTACTGCATATCATACATTTAAAAAATTATTAATAACCAATAAGTACATGAAAAGTACCAACACCTTTAGTCATCAGGGAAACATAAACCACAAAGAAAGAAATATCAGTTAAGATGCAGAAGATGTGAACCATACAATCAGAAACAAATTAATTGATATTTATAGAATACTCCAACCAACACCTGTAGGATACAAATTCTTTTCAAGTGCCTATGATAAACATTTTTTTAAAGATTTATTTATTTATTTATTTATTTGACAGAGATCATAAGTAGGCAGAGAGTCAGACAGATAGAGAGGGGGAAGCAGGCTCCTCGCTGAGCAGAGAGCCCACACAGGGCTCCGATCCCAGGTCCCTGGGATCATGACCTGAGCCGAAGGCAGAGGCTTTAACCCACTGAGCCACCCAGGTGCCCCTCAAGTGCCTATGATAAATGCAAGATAAATTATATGTTGTGCCATAAACAAGTCTCAGTAAAGTTTATGGATCAAAATTATGTAGGCTGTATTCTCTGACAATAAATCAAGTATTTATAAATAATAATAATAATAATAATAATAATTAGTATCTAGGAAAACACCAAATATGTTGAAAATAAACCACATATTTCTCAGTAATTCATGAGTCAAGAAGAAAATCATAAGAGAAATTATGATATGCTTTGTACTGAATGACAACAAAAAATACTAAAATTTGTTGGATGCAGCTAAAGCAGGATTTAGAGAAAAACATCACTTTAAATGCTTATATTTGGGGTACTTGGGTGGCTCAGTGGGTTAAGCCTCTGCCTTCAGCTCAGGTCATGATCTCAGGGTCCTGGGATCGAGTCCCGCATCAGGCTCTCTGCTCAGCGGGGAGCCTGCTTCCCCCTCTCTCTGCCTGCCTCTCTGCCTGCTTGTGGTATCTCTCTCTCTCTGTCAAATAAATAAATAAAATCTTAAAAAAAAGCTTATATTTAAAAAGAAGATTTAAAGTTGATGACCTAAAATTCCTATAAGAAGCCAGATGAAAATCAACAGAGTAAACCCAAAAAGCAGAGTGAAGGAAGTAATAAGGAAAAATAATCAACAAAATGAAAATAGAGCATAGAAAAAATCAACAGAGTCAAAAGGTGATTCTTTGTAAAGATAAAAAAAAATTGACAAATCTCTACTGAGAATGATCAAGATAAATAAGAACACAATTTACTAATATCAGAAATGAAAAAGGAATTATCACCATAGACCCTGAAGACATTAAAAAGATAATAAGTGAATGTATGAATAACTTTATTGCAACAGATTTGATAGTTTATAAAATATTTTCCTGAATAATCAATTTACTAATATTGACACAGGAAAAAATAGAGAAACTTGAATGGACTTTTATGTATTTAATCAATTGAATTTATTATCAAAACCCTTCCCCAAAAGAAAGTTATGTTTCACTGGTGAACTCTATCAAATACTTAAAAGGAGTAGTAAGCCCAGTCTTACTTTACACAGCATTTTCAGAAAATAGAGGATTGAGGATCGCCACCCAGCTCATTCATGAAGTCAGCATAATACCATAACTTGACAAGATAGTACAAAAAGCTGGAAGTTATAGGCCAATATTTCTCAATAATGCAGATGTAAAAATGTTTAACAAAATATTAGTAAAAACAAATTCAGCAATATTTTAAGAAGACAATATAAAGTACTCATGAAAGGAATTGAGAAAGACACAAAGAAGTGGAAAAATGTTCCATGCTCATGGATTGGAAGAATAAATATTGTGAAAATGTCTATGCTACCTAAAGCAATCTACACATTTAATGTAATTCCTATCAAAATACCATCAACATTTTTCAAAGAAATGGAACAGATAATCCTAAAATTTATATGGAACCAGAAAAGACCCTGAATAGCCAGGGGAGTGTTGAAAAAAGAAAACCAAAATTGATGGCATCACAATTCCAGACTTCAAGCTCTATTACAAAGCTGTAATCTTCAAGACAGTATGGTACTGGCACAAAAACAGACACATAGATCAATGGAACAAAATAAAGAGCCCAGAAATGTTTACCATCAACTGTATGGCCAACTAATATTTGACAAAGCAGGAAAGAATGTGCAATGGAAAAAAGAGCATCTCTTCAACAAATGGTGTTGGAAAAACTGGAAAGCCACATGCAGAAGAATGAAACTGGACCATTTCTTTACACCACACACAAAAATATACTAAAAATGGATGAAAGACCTTAATGTTTGAGATAGGAATCCATCAAAATCCTTGAGCAGAACACAGGCAGCAACCTCTTCAACCTCAGCTGCAGCAACTTCTTCCTAGAAACACCCCCAAAGACAAGGGAAGCAAGGGCAAAAATGAACTATTGGGACTTCATCAAGATAGAAAGCTTTTGCACAGCAAAGGAAACAGTCAACAAAACCAAAAGACAACTGACAGAATGGGAGAAGATATTCACAAATGACATATCAGATAAAGGGCTAGTATCCAAAATCTATAAAGAACTTATCAAACTCAACACCCAAAGAATAAATAATCCAATCAAGAAATGGGCAGAAGACATGAACAGACACTTCTGCAAAGAAGACATCCAAATGGCCAACAGACCCATGAAAAAGTTCTCAATGCCATTTGGTGTCAGGGAAATACAAATCAAAACCACAGTGAGATACCACCTCACACCAGACAGAATGGCTAAAATTAACAAGTCAGGAAATGGCAGATGTTGGTGAGGATGTGGAGAAAGGGGAACCCTCCTACGCTATTGGTGGGAATGGAAAACAGTATGGAGGTTCCTCAAAAAATGGAAAATAGAGCTACCCTACAACCCAGAAATCACACTATTCAGTATTTTCCCTAAGGATACAAATGTAGTGATCTGAAGGGTCACACGCACCCAAATGTTTATAGCAGCAATGTCCACAATAGCCAAACTATGGAACTATGGAAAGAACCTAGATGTCCATCAACAGATGAATGGATAAAGAAGATGTGGTGTACACACACACACACACACACACACTTACACACACACACACACACACTCACACACACACACACACACACACACACACACATTGGAATACTATGCAGCCATCAAAAGAAATGAAATCTTGCCATTTGCAATGATGTGGATGGAACTGGGGGTATTATGCTGAGCGAAATAAGTCAATCAGAGAAAGACAATTATCATATGATCTCTCAGATATGAAGAATCTGAAAGACAGGGTGGGGGCTCATGGGGGGTAAGAAGGGAAAAAACGAAACAAGATGGAATTGGGAGGGAGACAAACCATAAGAGACTTAATCTCATGAAACAAACTGAAGGTTGCTGGGGAGTGGGGGGTAGGGATAGTGTGGCTGGGTTATGGACACTGGGGAGGGTATGTGCTATCGTGAGTGCTGTGAAATGTGTAAGCCTGATGATTCACAGAACTGTACCCCTGGGGCAAATAATATGTTACATGTTAATTTAAAAAAAGAAGACAATATTGTGATTAAGAATATCTCAGAAGGAATTCAGGGATTTTATGTGTAAAAATGATTCAGTGTAATTAATCACTTTAACAGAATAGAGGAGAAAAAGCCCACATGATTACTTTGAGATTTCCAGGAAAAGCATCAATGCTCATTCATGGTAAAAATCCTTTGCAAAATCAGAAAGTAAGGAACTTCCTTAAACTACCTGAAAGGGCATTTCCCCCCTGAAAATGAAAACAAACAAGGATGTCCACTTTCCACACTTCTTTTCCACATTGTGCTGGAGGCATCAGATTTATAATAAGGCAGGGAAAAGATTTAAAAGACATAAAGCACAGAAAGAAAGACATAAAACTCTATTTACAGTAGGTATGCTATTTATGCAGAAAATATTAGGAAATCTATAGAACACTTAATAAAACCAATAAATGAATTTAACAACTTCAAAGATTAGTAGATTAACATACAAAAATAAAAAGCATATAAAATAAGTATATAAATATATAATAATAAGCAATAGGGATGAAAAGTACAAATAGTGAATATTGTCAGTGGTATTGTAATAGCACTGTATGGTGACAGAGCATAGCTACATTTGTGGTGAGCATAGTATACATATAGAGTTGTCAAATCACTATGTCATACACTTGACACTAATGCAACATTTTATGTTAATTATACTTCAAGACAACAGTAAATGTTTTTCCTTCCAGCTTTATTGACATATAATTGACAAGTAGTGCTGTTTAAATGTAAAGTGTACAGCATGTTGACTTGAGTTACATATATTGTGAAGTGATTACCCACAGTAAGTTTAGTTAATATCCATCATCTCATTTAAATACAACAAATAAATAAATAAATAAATTTTCAAAATGAATTCTTATATACTAACAACAAACAATCGGAAATAAAATATTAAAACTTTTATTTATAAGTATGTCAAAAAACAATATATCAAGGAATAAATCTAACAGAAGATGTTCAAGTCCTATATGCTAAACCAACAAAACACTGCTGGGAAAAGTTAAAGAAGGCTTATATAAATGGAGAGATATATTTGTGAATTGGAAGATTTGATATAGCATTGCAGATCAGCCAAAATTGATCAATAGTCTCAAAGAAATTCCAAACAAAATTCTAGTAGCTTTGTTGTAGCAACCAACTGATTCTAAAATTCATATGAAAAGTACAAAGACCCTAGAATAATGAAAGCATTTTTTGAGATGATCATATGGTTTTTAAATTTTGTCTTGTTGATGTGACGTTGATTGATTT